ATTGCACTGAAAAATTTCCTAATCATCCGTAAATACTGCCTTGAAACAAGTAAGGAATAACGTTTGTAGATCAGAATCAATCTCGTGGAAACCTGTATAGTCAGTCGTGTAGGAATCGGAGCTGTAGGATCGCCTTGAGCGCGATCCGACAGATGACGAACGATGTTTTCGTTTCGAGTGACGTCTTGACGAGTCACGACGGTCGTACTCATGACGATCGTCATCTTTGTGTCGGGACCGCGACGAAGATCTGATCAAAAATAACTCACATATGATCAAAAACAAGAAATTTAGTAAGAGAAATACTCTTCCTAATCCAAAAAAATTTGTTCTCACAGAGCATTTCTTACTTCGGATATTTCAAAATGTTCGCACTGCAGAGACATTTAACGTTCAGCCAGCATAAAGTTTTGTGTTTCAAAGCTTTTGGGCATCTGTCAGGAAGGAGAATCCTGGAGATCCCTGAAAAGCAACCAACTCACCTGTGCTTATGATGTCGTTTATGACAGTGATGATGACGGTTAGTTGTAGCACCGGATGTTTCAGCGTACATCGATGGCACCGACATAGAATGCTGAAATTGCACTTATACAATCAGCTAGTAAGTTGGTCAGATGGTGTCAGAAATTATGGAACTAACACGACGAAGAGAAATAATCTGTTAGGTACGAAACACCTTTCCACTGTTTTTGCACTTATAGTTAGACTATTCCTGATCGAAAACTTCTTCGATGATAAATCTACCTGAAGTGGTTGACCAAATGGTTCTTCAACTGGAGTCACAGGTTCGCTATTCGCATGTTCGGGCATACGTGCTGAATAAAAAACGCTTGATTAAACCAGAAAATCAAACGAATGGCTCGAATATAACAATCACGCGATACATTTTTCGAAAAACAATCCATTCCGCCGGGAAATGCTTTTCTCCAAGAGATAATTAATTGCAAGATTAAAGTTTGATTTAACCAATCAGTTTCTTACATAACGTTTGAAATTTTCGCATTCTTTATGTTTTTGTGCTCAACTTAAGGTTTCATTGACGAGACTCATCGTAAACATTTGATTCAGTTATATTACAGTCATCAATGTTCAGCTCAAACTGATCATTTCATATCGAGAATAAAAATGGCGATATTCTCACGCACCGAGCATTTGTTGGTCTTTGACCCAGTTTGAGACCAGGTCATCTTCAGGCTTATCGAAGTGAGCACGATCAAGGTCCTGCCGACTACGTTCAAATTCACGACCTTTCTCGAACTCACGACCTCTGTCGAAATCACGACCCCGGGCAATGTCCTGATCTCGGTCAAACTCGCGACCTCCACCAAACTCACCGTCTTGGTCGCGGTACGAAACCTTCGGTTTTATTGCCGGAGGTGGTTCTTCATTATAATCGGGCAGTTTACGATATTCATCACGCGTCAGTGATATACTTCGGGAATCCTTATGATAGCCAGGAGGCATTGCATAGTTATGACCTGCAAAATTATAATCCTTATACTGCTGATCTGTGCGATGTCTGTCGCACAACTTGAGGTTATGACGGCACATTCAGAATGAGGCTATCAATGATTGCTTATCAACAATTATGACGAATTAATCGGAATATTGAGGTTCTCCTGAATTCGAAGAGCACAAAAATTCATGTATTCTATAAAACGTTTTTAAATACGCACTCTTTTTGAAAGGTCATTTGAATGCAAATGAATTACTCACCTCTAGCGTTCTCATGATTTGAATAGTAGTTATCTTTATGATACTCATCGTACATTGCTGGGTATCGATCATANTGTTGCGTATTCTCCTTTCTTGAGTAATAATCCAAATCAGCCATTATTTGACGATAGAAGATGAGAACAGCAACGAAACAATAGAGCTAAAAATCAAACTTTTAGTAAATGCCAAGAATAGTTCATTTTAGTGGTAGCTTTCAAAATCTTATCACAACTAACTGATCATAGTTATTGTATTATAGAACGCGATGATGTTCTAAAGATGATAATTACTTCTCTCACTTTGCTATTACCATTTCTCTATTTTTGGAGCCTTGACTCTGCATAAAAAATTACGAGGACCACATAAAAGGACAATAATGACCATAACCTTACATAAAGCTAATCTCAATTACTGAATTCAGACCTTGTCCATTTGTTGCGTAACATCCTTCACGATGATTCAGCACATGACCAAT